CCCCCAAACAGCATTAGCTTCTGGCCGAGGCCCCCCTTGCAAACCCACAAACAACGCTACAAAATATGTAAAGAAACATCAACTTTTAGAATGTTTTAACTTTTATTCACTATATTCAATTAATTATTACAGCTGCTGAGCATAAAAAAAATTAACTTACATGTTTTAAACACTATAATATTCCCACTGGAAAAAAACAACAACTTTTCAACAAACTGTTGACCAGAAGAACAAAACTAAAGGAATCTAACCTCTCTCAAGCGTGTTTATCTGGAAATGACAGATACAGATTGCCCTAGTGCGCAATTTTTATTATCATTATTACTATTGTTTTATTTTTACTTTTTTGATCTTCTCTCCAGCGTTCTGAGGGTTTCCAAGCACCCCTTGGGGGCCCCCACTTTGAAAAACACTGTTCTAAACAATGTTTCTAAACTCTAAACACTAAAAGAGCACAGCATGTCATGATTTCAGCTTCCTGCCTCCGCTGCTCTTTGACACCTGCAAGCGCTCTTGGCCACGCCCACTTCTCCGCTCTGCACGAAGATCAGCTGCAGGAGGAAGCTTATCCTGCAGTATGGGCTGCAAAAAGGTGCAGGAGGTGCTAAATACTTTAAAATAATTTATTTTAAATAAAAATCTCATGCCGATCACGCGGCTCGTTCATCAATCAGCCAACTGTGTGTCATCTCCAATCTTATTTTGAAAAGCCGCGATAGAGCGAGTCTGCGATGAACGAACCGTGAAGTAGCGAGCGACTAATGTATGTTCTTTTTATGTTGTTTGTTTTCGTGAGCTTTAAATGAGAAGCTTCAAATTCCAGGACAAAACTGAAAAATTGGTTCCTTCTTTTCCGCAGCCACCGATGCTATTTGTTTTGCACATTAACGATAAAAACATCTAATAAAAGACCCGTTTCTCCCTGAATATGATATATTTCATTTTTATTGAGACCTTTTCAGAACAAACTCTGTTACAACTAAAACTTGCCTCTTTCTCATGTCTAAAACTGTTTTGTGTTCTTTTTAAAGAACGTCAAGCTAATCCAGCTGAAACGCATAAAAATATCACCTCCTTCCACGTTCGGCTAGGTTCATCACATGTTCATCACATGTTCATCACATGTTCACCACATGTTCACAAGCTTTTGATTTCCCTTTGAGAGTTTAGAAAAGGCAGGAAAAGAAGTCACTGCAGTGAGTGTGAATATCTCCACCTTTTCTTATGGAATGTGATCCCCCGTTGCTGCTGGCCTCCGTTAACCCCACCACTCCAAGAACCTCCCCGTCCTCAGCACTACGCTAATCTCTGCTGCACCCTCAACAGGTGTCCAAACAAGCCTTTGTCTGGAGGAAGAGGAGGAGGAGGAGGGAATGTGGGGCTGCGGCGAGAAAAGAGTGCTGCCATTTTCATGGCCGGGCCTGATTAGCATACAGCTGAGGACCTCTATTTGGGTGGAGGCCGCTGGGTTCAAACACGTTTCCAACGATTCAGATTTCTTGGGTTGTTAAAAGAAGTGATGAAAGGGGGGGTGCAGGGGTGGGCAGAGAGTCAGCCGGAGTAAAAAGCCTGCGGCTGTTCCGAGGCTGTTGAGCCCGTCTGTGGGGACCTCTTCCCACACAGGAAGTGCTGTGTCGGTGCAGACACAGTATGTTCTATCTCACAGCCGCAGTCGGTCAGCATCACTGCCACAAGCCAGCTCTCTGCAACAAAATCCACCCCACTGAGCTCCTCTGACAACCACACAAACATTACTGTTCAGGGACGAAACAGGCTACCAGCTGCTTTGGCATCAACGTGAACGTTTCCCACTGACAGAAGACACGGAACAGACAAAAGCATTCACAGCATTTTAAATATTGTCCTTTGAAGACCAAACTATGACCTGGTAACAGCAATATTTTAAATTGCAGTACTCAAGGAGCTCTTTTTATATATATTTATAATTCTGAATATTATTTGCCAAATAAAAACTACTGTCTCAGGTTGAGAAAAGTAAAAATGTTATATTGCCTAACCGAAAAAAACAAAACAAAAAACGTTTATTTGGCTAAATAAAGCCACAAATGACTGGTCAGTTTGTGATACTGTACTCCTGGACCTTACTGCTGCATTAGATACTGTTGACCACAGTATCCTTATATCACGGTTAGAACACTGGGTTGGGATTACATGTGCAGCATTAGAATAGTTTCGTTCTTATCTGAGTGACCAGAGCTTTTGTGTTAATGTTGGTAATGTTTTATCTGCTTCAGCGCCTCTTTCCTGCGGAGTTCTGCAGGGCTCGATCCTTGGACCCCTTCTGTTTTTACTGTATCTGCCCCCTTTGGGGTCTATCCTGAGGAAACGTGGTCTTTCTTTTCACTGCAATGCTGACGTTGGTCAGATTTATCTGCCCTTAAACCCTCATAGTTCTTGCTCCATTCACCCTCTGTTATGGCTTCAAACGTTTTAAGTTTTAAAGATCAGAATACTGAAGTTATTGTGTTTAGCCCTAGCTTTACTGCTGCCTGAGATCATCTGCTTTTGGTTGTACCAAAAATCAGGTTGAAGCTCAGAGGTAATTGGGCTTTTTCAGTCATGGGCCCTAAACTTTGGAACAGTTTGCCCCCAACATTAGACAGGCCACTTCACTTCCTGTTTTTAAATGTTTTAAAAACTCACCTGTTTTCACTGACTTTTAACACAATGTGATTTGATTTAGTATTTTATTGTTCTGTTTCAGGTTTCTCTTTTGACGCTTTTAATTATTTATTTTGTATTATTTTTTCATTAAATGACTGCCATTGATTTTATTGTTAACACTTTGGTAACAGCTGCTGTTTTTAAATGTGCCTTATAAAAAAATTTGACTTGATTAAGATTACCATCCGATTGTGAGAGATGGGAGTTTCGTCTGAAGAACAGGAAAATATAAAACACGTGAGAAAGTGTTCATTAGTCTTCTCACTTTCATTTAGATCCTTAAAAATATTAGTTAGTAACCAGAACTTCTACGTTAAAAATGCTTCTGCACAGAGTGTGACTATTTCCAAACGCCTCTGGATTCCAGTTAAATGAGCCGACTCGGTCTAATTTCCACTGCAGATGTGTTCAGATCTCTCGGCTCTATAAAATGAATTACCTCGAGTCGGATGGAGGACGGGTGAGCACATCCTGATTTATACCGAGACCTGCATTCCTCGCTCCTCGAGAGGCTTCATGTTGAGCTCCGAGAGGATAGCAACTCACAAACAAGTCCTGAACTGAAGCATAACTTCACTTCACCAAGCCTGTTTTCCTCATTTTCCTCTCACCCTGGTGTATAGAGCTGCTCTCAGGAGGAGGATGAGCTTCAGGCCAGGCGTTACACTCATGGAAAACATGTCAGGATCAATTCCTCTGGAAAATGTAAAGTTTCTACGCGTGGCACTGCACCAGTTCTGAGCAGGTGGTTGAGCCTTTGGCAAAAGAAAAACGAAAATATTAACGTTAAGTTCTCATACCATTGTTGCAGTCCGACTTAGAACTAGTGACGAGGCAGGAAAGTTTTGTCCGATGGCTGTTATTGGTCCATTCTGAGCCTGTCCCAGCAGGCTGTGTAAGTCACTGGGCAGACTGGCGGTGGAGCCCACTGCATGGTTCCTCAAAACAAGGATTGCATCATCCAATCTGTCCAGACGATCCTCCATTCGAGACTGGAAGGACCAGAGGGATCGTGAAACAGAGAATCAGGAAAAGCGAGAGGAACAAAGAAGGACAGCTTAGAATAAGCTCATTAGGACAAAAACTGAAAACAGTGATTGTGCAATGTTGACTCGAAAAAACAAAAAAACTGAAACATAAGTTAAAAAAGGCAATTCAAATGTAAGATAAACTGAGCCATTTCAGCTTGAGATATAGAGGAAATCCCATCCTCATATGTTGTGGTAGTAAACCCATTTAACACTTTATTTCAAATTTATTTCTGCACCAGATGATTACAGCAAGCTGGAATGGCCCTTTTAAGACAGCATGGCATGACGACAAGGCAGCTGATGTTATAAAATAAAATTGCACTATACTAAAACAAATGTAGTTACAATCGTGCAAGAAAACAAAATAAAAAATGCAAAGATGCATGGGACACGTAAGAATAAAGACTCTATCTGAAGAGTACCTCGCAGACATCCTTTAAGAAAGACATGGCATCCTGGAGATGCTCATGTAACTGCTGATGGACTCTGTTTTTCTGGCAAAGTCAAAAGAATGGGAGAATAATAATAAGAGATCAGTCACAAACACACTGAAGAGATAGTTTTCATTATTTTTCTTAGGTCACGCAGATAAGAAGTGTAGGATTTGGAGGGAAGCACACAGCTGCTGACCGTTCACTTTTCAAAAATGAAAATGTTTGCGAGTGCGCATATTTATTAGCCCCGCACGGTAGCAACGGCCACGTCCTCTTCTTCATGTTTACTGCAACACTCTTCAGCTTCTTTGTGTCAGTTGAGCTTTGTTTCTTTTACAAGAAGGTCTGCTTCTATTAAAAGCTGTGATTTACAGCAATATGTTCATTTTCTCCAGCTCTGCTCCATAACTTTAAAAGAATGTCTTTTGGAATATGTAGTAAGTCAACTACATGTCGATTTGACTTCAAACTAAAATAAAATGCTGGCGATGGCTCAGTTCAGACAGGATTAGTAATTTAATCTGTCTCTGTTCTACTTTGACTCCTGCAAATTATGAAATTCACTAAAGTTCTCCGTTTTGACAGAACAATCAAGCTTTAATTTTCAGAAACTTGTCCTAAATAATAATAATTATTATTATTATTATTATTTTTTACTGCATGGCTGTGGAATAATTCGTTAATCATTTAGGAGCAAAAATGTCTCAGAACGTCGCACAAAGAATTAAAGGCTGTTTCTCTTTTTAACTCTTCACCAAACTGAAAATGGTTTTATACAAACATATCTTAGTAAATAAACTGGAGCTCTAATGATTGCGACATCAAAAAATCTTGTTAAAAAAAAAAACTAATTTAAGGCATGTTTCTGAAAACTCTTTACATGTCAAGTTTAAACTAAAAATATATATTTTCTCCTCAGAGTTTTATTTTCTCCTACATCTGATCAAGAATTTGTGCCAAACTTTAACATTCATGCTTCACTATTAAAACAGGCAGTAGTTTCAATAAGAGTTTGAGTGTTAAAACCAGCCCCTTTATGTAGATACTAAAGAAAAATAAACTTGTATTTGTACTTCAACTGTGTGTTTTTGTTGTTTTGTTGTGTTACAGTTTCAAACCGTCCTTCGCGTTTCAGTTTTTTACTTTGATCAGATCTTTATCGATCGTTTCTTTGACCCGAGTCTGAGGATTTTAGACAGTTGCATTGTTGCTGTTTTGACAAACGTTTGTCTGTGTGTAACGAGTGATTTACATGTAAATATATTTAACCTCGCAGCAGATTATGTAAATAAATAAGTGCATCGGTAGCGGGGCTGGGTGAAATTTGGTGCTCAGCTCTGGTCGAGCGAAGGAATTCTGAAGAGGTGGTGCAGCAAACAGCTGCTGCCGCCTCCCGCACCAGCCCGCTCAACTCAACCCCCCGTCATCCCCGCCTGGGCCCAGAGGACAGATGGCGAGCCCCAAGGGACAGGTATTGTTCTGTTTGGTTATCCCTCCATGCCCACGTTCCTCAGAAAAACATTTGTCAGACAGGAATCTCCGTGTAATGCAAGCTCATGCCTTCATGGCTGACTTCTCTAACGTGAGCATCGGTCGTGTGATTCTTTCACATGAGGACGAAGGAGCGTGGGGAGTTTACCAGCGAGTGAAGGGAGTTCTCATAACTTGGTGAAGAGGAGGTCTGTCCACTTGCACGGGGCCACTGGTTGGTACCTGAGAAGATGGAAATGATCCGGTCAGTGTTAATCATCATCTGACTGAAGCTGGGACCCACACAACACACTGACATCCTGATTATCTGGTTTCTCGTTGCTCTGTAAAGATATTTTTAGCGTTTGGGACTCAGCTGCATCACTTCCTGCTGGCTGGACTACATCCTGACATTTGAGCCAGCGGAGGCTTGGACCGACACCCACTTCCACCCGCTGCATGTACGCTGCACCAAGACGTCCAAAAACGAAGATATGAGGCCAGAAAAAAAAATCTGGCACTAGTTTTCATTCACATCGTCTTTATTTTCCTTTCTCAAACACCATTGGCTCTTTACAAACACCTCACAGTGATCGAAAGGTTTTCAACACATGGCCTTCATCGAGGATTTGAAAGAAGAAAGTATCAGAGTTTAATCAAGTTAACCTCTTCCATAGAAGTTATTAAAACTTTTTTTATTTTTTTTTACCCATTCATGTGTTTTATCGAACATCTATGGGGTTTAACTGGTAATCTAGTGGCAGAATATAAACCGTATTATATATTATATGATTAACATAAAAAAAAAACCGCTGCAGCAGATTTTGGGCCTTCTGTCTTTCTAACAGGCCAGAATCTGAAGACAAACGATGATTTGATCTGGTGTAAATTAAAATAAAGAAATCACATCTGCTCATCACATTTCCATCTCCACCAATTTCTTCCTTGAATTTTTTTGAAGCATAATTATCTAAGTAACTTGCCCGTCATGTGTAACAGGAGCCAATGCATTAAAATGTACTTAAACAACATTATTAAACATTTTTACAGAGTAGGTCATCGCTGGTCTTTCTCAAAACATTAAAATTTTCTGATTTTATTTCTTGTATCTAGTGTGAATCCTGAAATTATTATAAGTTGCTGTTCTCTGCACTGTTTCTAGAAATGTCTTCATCCACACGAAAACACCAAAAACGACAACAAAAACACGTGTGTGTGTGTGTGTGTGTGGCGTTGTGACGTTGCCACAAAAATACGTGTAAATCAGGAAACGACGTGGAGTGTGAGCCTGGAGTGCGTGTGCTGGATGCGAAACATAAACACAAGAAGAAGACGTCCTCGGATCACAAGTTGTTTTAGAGGTGGAGCTACAAAGTCTTTGTTTTCAAAATGTTGTGTTTTGGCTGTTCACACGAAAACGCATGTTTCAAGGTTTTTTCATTACTTGTTTTAAAGAATTACTAACTTGGGGCTCATAAAATGCAATTTTGTATAACACAAAGCTAAACCACTTTTAGAGTGTAAAAAAAAAAAACTAAATAAAAAATGTTCAGGGTTTGGTTTTATAAAATTCAAGATTTATAGGATTAAATTAAATGCCCAATAAACAATTAAATTTATTTATTTTTTTAAATATGGAAATGTGTACTGAGGGAGAAACGCCACAAAAAAAAAACCCTCACAGCTCCCTGTGGTCAGGAAAGCGTTCACACAGTTTTCTATTAATTAATTCCACTGAAATGTCTGAGTGAACATCAGTGGTCCTTTGTACTTCAGGTTTTATGTTGCACACTCAGCCTTTCAAAAAAGCAGACGTTAATTAAGCGACTATTAACAGTGAAAGGAAATGAACGTCTGCTCGGCATCAGCTCTCTCCCAGGTGAGTGAGGAAAGTACTTCACATGAGCCTCGGCGGGCTGGCGGCTATGAAAAATTAGCCCGAGGCTCTGCTCCCCACATGCACAGAGAGAACTAATTGAACAAAGCAGTCTTGAGTAATGTGCTGTACTCTGGTGTAATCCCAGTGATGAATGCTTTCTGCTACTAACATCAACAGTGAGGCAAATTTAGGACCAGTTTCAAGCCCCAAAACCACCAGGACAGATAATTAGAGAAATAACGTCCTTTCACTATAAACCAACATGTATACGTTTGACCTTAATGTTTTTTAAAAAACAAAAGAATAGTTCTATTTATCAACTTTGTTATACTGCAGTTTGAGAAAGTCGTCGTGGTTCTCATCAGCTGAGTCGAAGCCACCTTCCCTCACCCAACGGTAAATAAACAGAGCCTTTTGCAACCTGGTGTGTATGTGTGTGTGTTCTGAGCAAACAGCTGTCCATGGGGCAGGGCAACAGCTGAAGATGAGGGGGGCATACGTAGAGACAGCTGCCGCCACTCCATTACCGCACATGACACAACTGCTCGCTAAAAAAAAAAAAAAAAAAAAAAAACAAGCAGGGCTGTCCCTTACAGTTCCCTCTCATTCTGTTACTATCAACACATCTGACCCTCTATATTCATTTAATAAACACCTGACCCTCTTTATTCATTTAATACGCACCTGACCCTCTATATTCATTTAATACACACCTGACCCTCTATATTCATTTAATACACACCTGACCCTCTTTATTCATTTAATACACA